CCCCCTCCTCGGCCGCAGCGGGGCCAGGACCGGATCCGGCCCCATCTTTGTGCCCATCGGTGCCACCCCGGGCAGGGGCACCACTGGGGACGTGGGGCAGGGCAGGGGCACCGCTGGCGGCACAGGGACACAGGACAGGGGACAGGGACACGGGACAGGACACGGGGACACGGAGCAGGACAGGGCCACCGCCGCGGGGCCGGGGCCGCCCTCCCACCGCTCCCGCAGCCCCCCTGGCGGGTCCCCCCGGCCCGGTGCCACCCCCCCTCCCTCCCCGAGGTGCCCGCGCGGGTCGCGGCGGGTCCCGCTGTCCCCGGGGCGCTTTGATCGCGGTGGCCCCGCCGGGCACGAGCCGCGGCCGCCGCGGCGCTGCTTTGATGAGGGAATTAATTAACGAGCTGTCGAACACGCGGTGCCGACACCGGGGGCACGGGGGAGGGAGGCGACACCCCCCCCGCTTTGGGCACCTCGGGGCCCCTCTGCTGCCTCGGTTTCGCGGTTTTGGGGGGGGGGGGTGTCCCTCAGCCCCGTGGTTTCCTTGACTCGCCCCCCCCACTCCTTTTGAATACATGATTTTAGCCACCATCATCGCCAACTGCATCGTCCTGGCGCTCGAGCAGCACCTGCCCGACGACGACAAGACCCCCATGTCGGAGCGGCTGGTGAGGGGGGGGGCTCAGGGAGGCACCCCCGGGGCTGGGGGAGGGTCCCTGGGACAGCGGGGAGGGGACCCTGCCGTCTCTGGGGGCTCCAGAGGGGGACCCTGGGCACCCCTGGGGTTCTAGGGAGGGTCCCTGCACCCCCCCAGGTTCCAGTGGGGGTCCCTGGCCACCCTGGGGGTGCAAGTGGGGGGGTCCCTGAGGCTCTACTGGGGGTCCCTGCTCACCCTGGGGGCCCCACCGAGTGTCCCTGACCCACCACGGGGTCCCTGCCATGTGTCCCTGTCCCCCCCAGCGTGGGCAGCAGACCGGGGGGGGACTGCCAGCCCACCTCCAGCCCACGAGCCGACCGTGAGTCCCAGTTCCCCCTGGACCTGCCACTGTCCCAGTTTCCTCCTTACTGGGAATCTGGGCCATGCCGGGAGCGGCACCACCCCCACCCCGGGGCCCCAGGGGGGCTTGGGGGGGGGCGGGGCCCCACCCCGAGGGGGGGGGGGGCACTGGGGGTGCCTGTGACCCCTGTCACACCTGTCCCCTGTCACCTGTGCCCCCCGTCCCCAGGACGACACGGAGCCGTATTTCATCGGCATCTTCTGCTTCGAGGCCGGGATCAAAATCATCGCCCTGGGCTTCGCCTTCCACAAAGGCTCCTACCTGAGGAACGGCTGGAACGTCATGGACTTCGTGGTGGTGCTCACGGGGTGAGTCACACCCAGGGGACACACCTGGGAACACACCTGGGAGTGGGACACACCTGGGAACACACCTGGGAGTGGGACACACGCGTGTGAGCGTCGTGGACTTCGTGGTGGTGCCCATGGGGTGAGTCACACCCGGGGACACACCTGGGGACACACCTGGGGACACACCTGTAGAAGGGGGACACTTGGACACACACAGGTGGGAATGTCACGGGCTCCGCTGTGGCACTCACGGGTTGAGGGAACCCCCGGGGGGGTACGGGGGGACACACCGGGGTGTGGGGCAGGGGTGTGGGGTGCAGGAACGCCCCCTGCACCCACCCCTGCAGCGGCTGTGCCCCCACACGTGTGTCCCACGTGTGTTCTTCGTGTGTTCCTTGTGTTCCTCGTGTTCCCACCCCTGTGCAGGGCCGCGGGGGGGGCTCCAGGCGGGGGCCGAGCAGGGGGGAGGGGGCGTCAGTCGGGGCCTCTCGGCTCCTCCTGTCCCCGTGTCCCCGGGGCCTCTCGGCGCTGTCACAACGTGTCCCCCGCGGTGTCACTCACCGGGAGGCACCGGCGGCAGCTCAGAGACCCCCCCGGACACAAAACCCTCCCCCCGGACACAAAACCCTCTCCCCCTTGTCCTCAGAGACCCACCTGGACACAAAACCCTCCCCCCTGGACACAAAACCCTCCCTCCCCCCGTCCTGAGAGACCCCCCGGACACAGAGCCCCCACTCCTCCCAGCCCAGCACCACAACCTCAAAGCCCCCCCAACCCCAGAGCCCCCCCCCCCGGCCCCTCCGGCCCTGCCCACGCGTCCTTCACTCGCCTTTGGGGGGGAAACTGAGGCGGGGGGGGCCTGGGGTTGGTTTTGGGGGGGGCTCGGCGGGCCGAGGGGTTCCCTCTGCTCCCCCCCCGCCCCCCACTCCGCCCCCCTCCCAGGAAAGGAGGTGAAGGGAAGGGGGAGAATGGGGGCGAAGGGAAGGGGATCCAAGTGGGGGAAATGGGGTGAATGAACTGGGGGGCCGGGGGGTGATGAACTGGGGGGGACTGGGGGTCACCGGCGCTGTCTGGGGGTGGCACAGAGGAAGGGGCCGGCCCGTTGCCATGGCAACAGGGGACCCTCCGCGGCACCAGGGGGCGGGGGGGGGGGGGGGGGGGGGGAAGCAACGAACCCCGGGGGGGGGGGGGACAACCCCGGCCCCCCTCGGGATCCTCGGGGACCTCGCTGGCCACCGCCCCCCCCTCCCTCCGGGGCTGTGCCCACCCGGCCGTGCCCACCCGGCTCTGGCACCGCCGCCGCCGTTGGCACCGGCACCGGCAGCGCCGCCGGAAAAAAAGGGACTAAAAATATCCCCGAGCTGGAGCTGCCGCCCCCGGCACCGGCACCGGCTGCGGCCGCGGGCACGTGGGGCTGCGGGGACACGGGGAGGGGACACGCGGGGAGGGGGGGGACACACGGGGCAGCTCCTGGTGGCCGCGGGCTCGTGGCCCTGCAATGGGGGTGGAGCACGGGGGGGGAATCGTGGTGGCCGTGGGCTCGTGGCCCTGAGGCAGGGGCTAATAAGGG